CATAAAATATATAGCACCACTTCAAATGTTGTTGTGCCGGCCTGCAGGTACCCGCTTGGCCAATGACGATAACTTCGCCTATAATAAGTTACAGTCATTTCCTGTTGTGAATTTACTAAATATAGCAGCCCTTACTCCTTGCCAGAAAGGCATTATTAAGGGATTTTGGGTATTATGGAATCGGAAATTATCAGCGTTTAAAAGTTTGCTTGGTCTTAGTTATTGTTATTGTCCCCTGAAAAAGCTAGTAAAAAACAGGGTCTCATCTTCTTGTTCGCATTCCTTGCAGAGTGTGTATTCTGAGAGCCCCATAATAAGGAGATGCTTCCATACTTGGGCAATGACCAGTCGTAGTCAAGAATATAAAAGGCCTAATCCTGCCTGAAAGTTATTGCATTTTTTCTGTATGTTTTAATTTTTTATGTAGCTATTATATGCTCATATTAAGTAAGAAATATATATATTATTAACGAAAACGCATAGTTTGTGTACGTACCTTCCACCACCAAATTTTTATAATTTAATTTTTTTTTAACCGAAATTTGCAGTAGGTTTGGTAGAGGCCGCAGTTGAGATTTTCCATTTAAAGTACACTGTGTTGTCAATATTATTTGAAATGGTATCACTGTGAATAGAAACATTTCTGTCATACAAAATGAAATAATGTCTCTTATATTGGCCGGTATTATAGTCTATTTTTATGTATGAGAGAGTAATAAAACAGCATTTCTAATGCAAAACTTAGTACGGTCATTTTAAATATTTTTACAGAATAATCTAAATATTTCCTAAAATTGTAATAAATGTACCTGAGCTATTACAAGTTTTGGGTCTTTTATTGGTCCTTTATAAACATAAGCTGTACAGAACAATAGAAAAAGGTTTGAACAGGCCAAAATCCCTGTGTATTAAAGATTATTTTCAATAAGTACCTATTTGCCAATTTTGTTTTATTTTAATTCCAAGAATGTCTTACAGTAATCGAATTATAAGTAGATAAATACATTCCCAACAAATTTCACCGAAAATGCGATTATAGGTTTTCCATTTAGTAAGGAGGTCCAAGTTGTGTATTCTTGACAGTTTACTAAATGTCGTTTAGTTGCAACTTGCAAGGTGTGGTGTGAATTCTAGTGTGATCATGGAAAATTTGGAAGGGCCGCGTAAACGACAAAAAATCGGTCCTTTAACAGTTAATATTAACATTAATATTTAATTGTTTTAAATCATTTACAGACAAACATTTATGTAAAAGTGTTGATGACACAGTGGAATTAGTTAGTAGTACGCTTGGTGTTGGGAAATCTACGATTTACAGAGTTGTTAAAGAAGAGAAATGTGGCGAGTTTCAAACAGCACGTATAGCTCCATTAAAACCAAAATTTCAATTAGAAAATCTTTTGAAAGAAAGACTTCGAAGGAAAGTGCATGCGTTCTTCTTTAGAAAAGAATTTCCGACAGTAGACAAAGTTCTTGCCACGGTTCGAGATGATAAGGATTACCCTGAAATGAGTCGAAGCACACTATGGAAACTTTTAAAAGAAATAGGTTTTCTATGGAAAAATCATTCCAGAAAGTCTATTTTAATAGAAAGAAGCGATATTGTAGTATCGAGAAGAAATTACCTAAGGACTATAAAAGAAATGAGAAACCAAAGAAGAAATATATTTTATTTAGATGAAACATGGATCAACGAGGGACATAAACCAAATAAATTTTGGCAAGATGAAACTGTTACAAGTCGAAGACAGGCTTTTTTAAATAATTTATCTACTGGTTTAAATCCACCATCCAAGGGGCGCAGACTAATAATAGTACACATCGGTAGTTCAAACGGTTTTGTTAAAGGTGGTTTATTGACTTTTGAATCTACTCGTACCGGTGACTACCATGAGGACATGAATGCTGATGTCTTTAAAGAGTGGTTCGAACAAATTATAGATCTTCTTCCTCAGAACTGTATAATAGTAATGGATAATGCAAGTTATCACTCGAGACTTATAGAAAAAATGCCCACAACCAAGTGGTTAAAAAAAGATTTACAGAATTGGCTAAATTCAAAGAATATTAAGTTCCATCCCGGTTCTGTGAGAAAAGAACTGTATCATTTGTGTTCCCTTCATAAAGAGAAATTCGGAAAATATGAAATTGATGAAATTGCAAAAAATCGTGGGATGACGGTGGTTAGATCACCACCATATAATTGCGAAGTAAACTCGATTGAACTGATATAGGCACAGATAAAGGGAGAAGTTTCAAGAAAAAATAATTCTTTTAAAATGAGTGATGTTAAACAGTTGTTTTTGGAGGCTGTAAATAATGTGAAGCCTGAAAACTGGGAAAAGGCAGTAAATCATACGATTAAAGAAGAAAAGAAAATGTGGAAGTTAGACAATATTACTGATGAAATGATCGAGCCACTCATTGTAAATATTGATTGCGACAGTTCATCTTCTGATTTCGATTCTGATTTGGATTTGTAGGTAAGAAGTAGTTTTTATATTAAAATTAATATTTATGAACGTAACGTTGTTTAAAAGTCAAAGTTTAAACCCTTATACCTACATAACCCGTTTGACACAATGTTCTTAACATACCTTGTGGAAAAATAAAACATTTTAGAAAAAATTGCACTTTTTTACCTTCAGCTGTTTAGAAGTTATAAGCAGGTTAATTAGGTGAAAATATAAGTGTATACTCGAGGAATAACTTCAAAAAATATTTTAACTGTCTACTAAAAGAAGTGGTACGCCTATGGATTACGAACGCTTTATTATTTTAATACTCTCTCATACATAAAAATAGACTATAGCCGATACTCAGCACAAATCTTCTAATACGTAAATGAAAGCGTTGGGCAATAGTAGAGGATATGCTCGATGGCCTCATCTTCTTGTTCGCACCTCCTGCAGAGAATAGATTCTGACAGCCCCATGATATTGGAATGCTTCCATACTTGGTAATAACCACTTATGTCTAATCATAGTCAAATATTTGACTATATATTATGAAAGGCTTAATCCTATGTCAAAGATATTGTATTTTCTCTATATTTTTCAATGAAATACAAATTTTTTTCATATACCTATTTATATGTATAATTAGAATATAAATAATACAATATACACAGTATTAATGTATTTCTTTAAAAAAGGTTACGTGTTATTATTTTTGTTAGACGTGAACACAAGTATAATTTCCTCGATAATTTCAGATATAAAAAATAAAAAAAATTATATAAGTTATCTCTAATCGACTTCATCGTCTAACTGTGGCTCTTCCATTAAACCATGTTTTCTCCTTATTTGTGTGGATATGTATGGTAAGATATCTTTCAAGAAATTCTTCATACCTAGGGTAACCATCTCCTCACAAAATGTATGCAAGTCCAACTTAAATGTATCATATTCGCGGGAAAGACTGCTGCCTTCTCTGTATTTCTTATGCCATTCATTTGATTTTAAGAAGTCGGCTTTATGACTGTGCTTAGCGGAATACATTATACACATATCGTAATAATGTGAAACAATATAGGGCCATTATTAAAGGAACAAATATGGGCCAAGTTATACTTACAATAAAATTGTAGAAATTCTTAATGAAATAATGTGTATACATGTAATTAAAAGTAAAAAATATTTACAGTGGTTCTACCACAAATGAATGAATTCATTGCTGGCCAACTAAATCGAACCTTATATGAGATCTAGTAGTTAGGCCATAACACGGCGTTTCCCTTAAATAGACCAACGCATATTGACCGGCAGCAGCATTAATCGTAGCAATGATTTCAGGTGGCATTATTTCAAAAATGCGCCCTCGGCAAACCAACACTGAAAAAGCTCAAGTAAAAACCGATCAATTAAATGAATTAGTACACTACACATTTACCATATCTAGTATCTTTGACAAATATCGCCCTGATAATATAAAGTTGGCCCTACAACTAATGACTTTAGTTCCCGCTGATCCAATATTGTGCACCACTCATCAACTAACTTATTTAGATCTATCTGAGCTTGAGACATGGAAGAATACAAATATTTTTTAAACCTGTATATAACATGCAATACTACACTTGGTTATTATTTGGAACTTCTAAACGCTCTTAATGCTTACGATTTTAAACGGATTTTCATTTGGGATATGAGCAATACTATATCCTCTCTAAAAATCCCTACCTCTTCTATGCTCCCCTCTCCAATATTCATAATATACAAGTATGAAGATGTGTTAAGGGTGGGGTATTATTTCTTTCACCAATGTTTACGTCGCGCGTGTCTGCTGAAGACTAGCGCTTCACTGTAACTATGACGGTTGAGAGTCAAGGATGTGTTTAGGTATGCCCCGACGTATTTCCCCTATGCTACAATAGTAATCACTGAGATGTACTTAGATTAAACTCATTACCTACATGATATACATAGTAATTACTATCTAAGAGGTACTTACTATGCTCGTTACTCGCTACCTGATATACAAAGTAAATACTCGAGGTACTTACATCTCTATGTGTATGAAGTAATTACACTCATTACATGATGTACATAGTAATTGGGAGGTACTTGCTAATTGCGCGAAGGGTGGGGGTGGGTATTTAGGATAATTACTAATTACCTCTCGTTACTAGAAATGGCCAATCTCAACTACTAATGTGTTGAAAGTCACGAGGTATTATGCGAATTGGTGCAATTGCGGATTAGGGAATTTTACCATTGAGTTAAGCTCAGCAAATTCTTAATTAAGAGTAAAGATATCGTCAATGGCGTCTGTAGGTTGGTTTACAATATTAGGTTGTCTACGGTTTTGATTTTGTTTCTGCGAGTATGCCTGTTTACTATTGTTGGGTTTAGGTCACTTGTAAGGCTTTCATGATTGTCAGTACATCCGTCTAATGGGCGGTATGTTATTTTTTTTATTAATTTCTTGTATTTCCACTTTCTTAGTGACGTTCTTGCTCGCTGTTTTGTTTTTAGTAATAAGGTTTGGGGTGGCTTTACCTTTTACAATGGGCACTTCGTCTGTTTGCATTTCAGGCTCGCTGTTACTGTCACTTATAGCTTCAAACCTGTTTTTTGTAGATATAGTGGAGGCTGCTTTTAGTTCAAGTAATTTAACTGAGTTTGTTTTGAACATTTTTTGTCTTTTTTGGCTTTTTAAAACACCTCATCTTCCTCACTATATGAGCTGACGTTGGTTGCAGATAGGGGAGATAGATTTTTCCTTTTTGGCAGGAGTACCGACGCGGTTGGGGTTTATGTGGAGGACTATTCCCTATTTGTCTAGACTGAGATACTGGGGGTATCTGTGGTGGTTTGGATGCCGGAGGAACCTAGGGTGATAAACTCTGTGTAGTTTGGAGTGTTGTAGGGAATTGAAATTTTTTATCAGAAATCCGGAAGGGTTCTGTTGGGTTGAGGGAACAGAAAGCCTGTCATTCTTCCTGAGTTTTTGCATATTTTTAGGTTCACTATTTCTCTCCTCTTCACTGGAGCTTGTAATGTTTCAATCAGTCCCCAAGTTTGACACTCTCGCGGTCACTGAGGGTGGCCTTGCTATGGTTTTGTATGCCGACTCCAAACTCGCGATACTATAACTTCTTTTTTATCGGGTTTATCAGTTTTACTGTTTTTCATCACATTATCTCGAACTGCGTTTTTGGAGTTTACCGAATTTTCGACCGGCACTTCGTTATGCACAAAGGGTGATTGTTCCTGGGATATTGGGAGGTCATCATAGAGCATATTGCTCTCTTGCGAGGGTGGTGAGTAGAAAGGTGTTTTCTCCATGCTTTCTATGATGGGTGGATTTTTTCCTCCAAGGATGTTCCTATTTGACTGGTACCTTACGTGTGGTGCAAATCGGCCTTATCGGTTTGCATTTCGCCCTTATCTCTTGTGATTTTTGTGTCAGGTCGTTTTTCGTATTTCTCCAGGCTTTCTGCGTTAAGAATTTTTTCGTAGGAAGCCCCTGTCTTGTGCTCTCGTATTGTCTTGTTAGTGTTTACTTTAGGTAAAGGAGTACTTGCATGCCTATATGGGCGATGTTTACTCCTTTTTAATTTAAGGGTTGGTGGGCTTCTTGGGCTGCTGGTTTTTGATGGTTTGTTGACATCTATCTTTGGTGAAGCATGTTTGTTTTTACTTTTGCTGATTTTCTCTCTGTATCTTTTTATATATATCGTTTCTGTGGTTGCATTTGCTGTGAAGCTAGTCAAAAATCCCGAATATGACAGAAGATGTAAATGTTTCGGACAAAAAATTATTGCAGTCAGAAGAAGAGAAGGAAGAAGGCAAAGAACAGGAAGAGATAATATTAATCCATGTCATGCGACATTGTGAAGGCCTGACTACATTGAGATGTCTAGCTCTAGACCTACACGAATAAAAGTGAAACACATGTAACTAATGTAACTATAGTCTATTTTTATGTATGAGAGAGTATTAAAATAATAAAGCGTTCGTAATCCATAGGCGTATCACTTCTTTTAGTAGACAGTTAAAATATTTTTTGAAGTTATTCCTCGAGTATACACTTATATTTTCACCTAATTAACCTGCTTATAACTTCTAAACAGCCGAAGGTAAAAAGTGCAATTTTTTTTTAAATGTTTTATTTTTCCACAAGGTATGTTAAGAACATTGTGTCAAACGGGTTATGTAGGTATAAGGGTTTAAACTTTGACTTTTAAACAACGTTACGTTCATAAATAATAATTTTAATATAAAAACTACTTCTTACCTACAAATCCAAATCAGAATCGAAATCAGAAGATGAACTGTCGCAACCAATATTTACAATGAGTGGCTCGATCATTTCATCAGTAATATTGTCCAACTTCCACATTTTCTCTTCTTCTTTAATCGTATGATTTACTGCCTTTTCCCAGTTTTCAGGCTTCACATTATTTACAGCCTCCAAAAACAACTGTTTAACATCACTCATTTTAAAAGAATTATTTTTTCTTGAAACTTCTCCCTTTATCTGTGCCCATATCAGTTCAATCGGGTTTACTTCGCAATGATATGGTGGTGATCTAACCACCGTCATCACACGATTTTTTGCAATTTCATCAATTTCATATTTTTTGAATTTCTCTTTATGAAGGGAACACAAATGATACAGTTCTTTTCTCACAGAACCGGGATAGAACTTAATATTCTTTGAATTTAGCCAATTCTGTAAATCTTTTTTTAACCACTTGGTTGTGGGCATTTTTTCTATAAGTCTCGAGTGATAACTTGCATTATCCATTACTATTACACAGTTCTGAGGAAGATCTATAATTTGTTCGAACCACTCTTTAAAGACATCAGCATTCATGTCCTCATGGTAGTCACCGGTACGAGTAGATTCAAAAGTCAATAAACCACCTTTAACAAAACCGTTTGAACTACCGATGTGTACTATTATTAGTCTGCGCCCCTTTCCTGATGGTGGATTTAAACCAGTAGATAAATTATTTAAAAAAGCCTGTCTTCGACTTGTAACAGTTTTATCTTGCCAAAATTTATTTGGTTTATGTCCCTCGTTGATCCATGTTTCATCTAAATAAAATATATTTCTTCTTTGGTTTCTCATTTCTTTTATAGTCCTTAGGTAATTTCTTCTCCATACTACAATATCGCTTCTTTCTATTAAAATAGACTTTCTGGAATGCTTTTTCCATAGAAAACCTATTTCAGTTTCCATAGTGTGCTTCGACTCATTTCAGGGTAATCCTTATCATCTCGAACCGTGGCAAGAACTTTGTCTACTGTCGGAAATTCTTTTCTAAAGAAGAACGCATGCACTTTCTTTCGAAGTCTTTCTTTCAAAAGATTTTCTAATTGAAATTTTGGTTTTCCTGGAGCTTTACGTGCTGTTTGAAACACGGCACATTTCTGTTTTTTAACAACTCTGTAAATCGTAGATTTCCCTACACCAAGCGTACTACTAACTAATTCCACTGTGTCATCAACACTTTTACATAAACGTTTGTCTGTAAATGATTTAAAACAATTCAATATTAATATTTTTTCATTAACTGTTAAAGGACCGATTTTTTGTCGTTTACGCGGCCCTTCCAAATTTTCCATGATCACACTAGAATTCACACTGCACCTTGAAAGTTGCAACTAAACGACATTTAGTAAACTGTCAAGAATACACAACTTGGACCTCCTTACTAAATGGAAAACCTATAATCGCATTTTCGGTGAAATTTGTTGGGAAGGTATTTATCTACTTAGAATTCGATTACTGTAAGAAATTCTTGGAATTAAAATAAAACAAAATTGGCAAATAGGTACTTATTGAAAATAATCTTGAGATACGACTATTTAATCTTTAATACACAGGGCTTCTGGCCTGTCCAAACCATTTTCTATTGTTCTGTACAGCTTATGTTTGTAAAGGACCAATAAAAGACCCAAAACTTGTAATAGCTCAGGTACATTTATTATAATTTTAGGAAATATTTAGATTATTCTGTAAAAATATTTAAAATGACCGTACTAAGTTTTGCTTTAGAAATGCTGTTTTATTACTCTCTCATACATAAAAATAGACTATAACAAGGGTTACAACAAGAATTTTCGATAATAAATAAAATATAAGTTTTAAATGATCGGCTCGTTTCAGCTCATGTGAAAGCTGTAGCCAGCCACGTCATCGTTTTTCTGAGATCTAATTATTGTGAACGACACTCAACAGACATTTGTGGATTATCAGCCACACTTAGACGAATAGTCTCAATATATACCGAATGAACTGAACGTTCAAGTTCTGCGGCTTTGATATCTCGTATATATATCTTGTTATTTTGCATTTATAGTTATTTGTGAAACGATTTTGTATATGAAAGTCACTAAAAACGCCACGATTTTAGCAAACCCATTTTCAAAATAAGTTTTAACAATTTAAAGACGTAGTGATACTGTATACCGCAGTATAGATAAAATTGTATTAATATGTAGAATTTAACAAAAAAAGTAGCAAAAAGAAACTCCTGATAGAAACCCTTAAATAGCAGAATTTCTTGAGAGATCTAAAAAGCTCACAGTGGACGAAGACAAGATTTCAATCCCTATAAAATCGAACTGAGCCTTCAATTGGTTATAAAAATAGAGGTATTAAATTTTATGAGCATAGAGCTTGGGCGAGGCTACCGTTAGTAAAAGAAATATACTTGTATCATTTAGTTTGTTGTTGTTTAATAAAGTCAAGTGGTACTAATTTCTTTAACAAGTATAATTACTTTATAACTTCGAAGAATTTTATCTGACACCTACTCATATTTTATTTTAATTCCAAGAAAAGATTAATGGTCTAGTTTTGCCAGTTCTGGTATTCTTTACACGCCATTCTCATGCTATTACGGAAATGCCATTATGACTTTTTAAAGGAATGCAATTCTATTAATATACAGAGCATTTATTTGTATTGTAAATGTGCATTATATTATGTCGAAATATGAGATCTCATTTGTATTAATTTATCGCATAAATGTGCACCTGTTGAGGTTTTTCTGTGGAAGATACATTTATCTATCTACATAAACTATGTATACAAATATATGAGACGATGATGAGATATGCGTAATTATACGCTTCGCAGAAATGGCGTTTGATCAAAAGAGGAAATTCCAATGTTTCCAATCGTTTGGTTCAAGACAGGGAAAACTAATACTATGAAGAATGAATGAACTATGTGTTGAAGGCATAGGGGTCTATTCTGTAACAATTCCTTTATCCGTTAAAATATTGGCGGCCTTTAAAAATATTTTCGTATTCGCTAATTTACTTCTGTCATTATTTAAACGGATTTCTTCAAGATATTCCTCTAATGTAATTTAAAGGAATCCGTTTCAATAATGACAGAAGTAATTTAGTAAATCCGAAAATATTTTTAAAGGCCTTCAATATTTTAACGGATAAAGGAATTGTTACAGAATAGACCCTATTGTCGTTTAAACTGTTAGATCTATAAAAAGTTATCATTATATTTTGTAGCAAAGCTTCGCGAACATAGCTATTAGACTGCAATCTTCAACAGAATATTTATATTACATTCTTTAGAAATCCTCAAATAAATTACAAAATTACCTCTACGAAATAATGAAATAAATATAACTGAAAATTTGTCGTAAGTAGTGT